AGCAGCATAAAGGAGCTATAGATTTCTACAAAGTAGTTTGATCTAATAATGAGCAATGCCAAGACCTGCAGCCATATGCAGTGCACACAAAGACTGTTTGCTGGGGAAGGTGAACTATGGTATGTGCTTGGTCAGATTGTGAGCTATCTATGTGGAGAAGGGGGAGAAAACAAAGAAAAAGAAACATAGTATTTGGAGTCACTAAGAAGGGTCTTGGGAACAGGTTGGGGGGTGGGGGAGAAGCCCTGGGCCACACAGATAGTGCAGGTTAAAGGACAGGGAAGGAGGTCATGCTGGGGGCAGCTCCCTCAAGTGTACAGGGGCACCAACTGAAAGAAAGAAAGCCTCCTCCACACAATGGCTTTTCTTACTAGTAACTTCTCATTTGTAGCTTGGTGAATTTGTGAAAATCACTGACAGTGAAGTTCTTACAGGAAGTCATGGGAAACTTTAACTGCGATCTGCAGTGCAGTTAGGAATAGTTTCACATTCATCCCTCCAACTGAAAATGTCAGGATGTTATTGCAGTTATACATTTTATCATGTTTAAATGCTTTTTTATTGTTTGGTCAAATTACTGATGTTGACTGCCCATTCAAGTGAAAAACAGTTGTCTTTAAGGGCCTTCCCAGGCATGGCAGGTGGGCTTGTGGGCACAGGACCCAGGAACTCTGCCCTGCATCTCAGCCAGCCTCTTTTGGGAGAATCAGTGTCCACAGACCACCAAGTTAAAGCAGCCATACGTCTCTGCTGTGTGACCTCGGGGCATGGCTTACTGCTTGATTCCTGACTGGTGAAATGAGTGGGATGTTGCCATGGACCATTGCCATCCTCATGGTTTCTGTTTTGCTTTGTTTTGTTTTTCTTTCACAGTCTGTAATTGCTGTTTGCAGGTCACTGGTTCAGCATTTTCTCCTTTTCTTTTCCCCTGCTGTTTTCTTTTTCCCTTCCATTGTTCAGGTTCCTAGGATAACCAGTGTATGGCCAAGGACGCCTTTCCGACCACTTTTCTCTACCATACAAACAGCTTCTCTGCTGAGCTCTCATCCTTTTGAAGCAGCCATGTTTGGGGTAGCAGGGGCTATGTATTATCTGTTTGAGAGAGCTTTTACCAGCAGGTGGAAACCCTCAAAGGTTGGCCTCTTTCTGCTGGTTCTGGGAATTCCTTTACTCTCTGTCTGACAGTGATACCTCAGCTACTACACTCTGCAAGAATTAACAGCTCAGATGGGCACTTTGCTTTTGATTGCTGATTCCAATCTTGTATAGGACGCATAGATCATGCTGTGATCTCATTGGAGAAGAAAATAGCTGAAAGGACAACAAACTCAAAATGCAGCATCAGCTAGAGAGCCTGTGGGTGTTGGTCTCTGGGAATGGCTCCCTGTCATGTCAGCAGGGCATTGCTTCCTCCTGACTCATGTTCTCCCACCCGTGGAGTTTTGGGAAGGGTTTATTCACTTGCCCAGCTGGCAGACCAGCCCCTTGCTGGCCAGACAGCCATGATGGACAGCCTGCCACACCAATAGAGGGGCAGATGTGTCCCTGATATTTCCTCCACACTTCATCAGCAGCTCTATGGCCCAGTACCCTGCCCCCCTCAGAGTGCTGTTTCTTCAGAGAGAAAAGTGAGTTGTCTTTTGACTGATAGTTACTCAAAACATTTTTTACTATTTCCCATTACTTTGGGGGGATCTTCTTTTTCACAAAATAATAAATGTTACTGACATTTGAATGTTTTCAAAAGACCACATTAAATCTGACACTCATTCCCCAGTGGTAGAGAGCAGCAAGAACCTGGCTCTTCAAGGATCTGTGTTATAGAACAAGCTCTGGACAGACAGATGACCCAGCCACTGTGGTCTCTCTTACTCATCTTTGTTATGCATCTGAATGTAAAAGGCACAGGGAGCCTGATCCTAACTTTGTCACTTGTCATGAAATCTCTATGTCTATCTTCTGTCTGACATACCCACCTAAGTTTAGATTAGCTCCGTAGACAAAATGGGTGGGCCTCTTAATTCTTCTCACTGCTACATGTTGACATTTATTATGAACACACTCAAACAGAAATATCTGCGTGAAGTCCATAGACTGTTTTAAGCAAAACCAAATTCACTTTGAGTTTTAAAATTGAATTTGAAGGAGTGATTAAATACAAGTCAAATTTTCTATTTACATTGGCCTCCCTTTGAATGGTTTTTAAATATTTACAGCTGGTATGTGAGGCCTCTTTCTAACTGAAGCCATTATATGAAAGATACCTGTTTTTGAAGCCTGCAAGGTGGCTTAGCAGGTTAAAGCATCTTTTGCCTACCAAGCCTGACAGCCTGGGTTCGATCTTGAGGATCCCCATGGCAGAAGGGAAGAGCCACAAGCAACCTGTCCACACCGTCACTGTGACCCACACCACATCTGTAGATAGATAGATAGATAGATAGATAGATAGATAGATCTCATTTCTCTGTGGTTCAGTAATAATAATCAGAGTTTCACATTCTGCTCTCTGGTTTCAGACAAAATCTGGTTAAGATATAACCAGAATTTTCAGTAAAACTCAACTTGTAAGCATGTAAATAAGCTATGGCATAACTGCCCCCATTGTCGATGCCTTTGCTGCTTTCTCCCACATTTTGAGTTACTTTGGGACAAAGAGCCCCAAGGGTAATGGTGTCAAGCTGGCCAGCATAACCAAACCCACTGAACCCATAGCAGGAGACAGTCCAGGGTCATGGTGGACAAGGTACTCTCTTGAAGATTCTTGTCAGTTGGAAAAATAATTAAAACTATTCTAGTCACAATTTATCCTTTTATTTTGTGTTGCATTAAAGTCTTGTTGTCCTTGGGCAAGCTCCAGAATTAAAACATTAGCATTTGACCTGATGGAAATAATTTTATTAAGGGATAGTGTGAATGAAAATTTTAAAAAGAGTAAGAAAATGAGCAAACTTCATGAGTTCTTACGATGTTCTGTGCAGTACGGGTTTAAAATGGTTCAGAGCCGAAAGTTGAGGATGCTCTTGACACAGGATGGATCCTTGAGAAGGATGGAGCACAGCTGGCAACTTGTTCCATGGCAGTCTATCCCCAAGTGAAAACACTGTAGCCAGGGATCTGCAGGGCACAGGGATCTGAACACTTACATTAGGTTGGTAGGTTGGTTGGTTAGTAAGTTAGTTAGTTAGATTAGTACAGTATTTGGTGTAGTTTAGCAGTTTTGTCATAGTTGTCAGCCACCTTTTATTAAATACAGTAAGAAAACTTCTACAAACATTAAAGCAGAAAAATCATATGATTGTGTTTGGCCAACGTTGCTTATTTACTAGCCCAGTTAAATGGCCTAACTAAGGTGGCTCATTGTTCTTTGACATGACTTTTTCTCTGGATTAAACAAGCAAATATATATTGAGCATACTGCTTAATTGTCTCTGAACGCTGTTCCCACTAAATGAGAAATTGAGATGGGCAGCTCTTTTTGAATGCCTATTGTTGGCATCTTAAAGTAAATGACACACACTTCTTCAGCGAAGGCCGGCCCCCCAGCTACCAAGAGGCTCCTCTTAACAACTCAACTGCATGGTTCTTCCCGAAGTAGTCTAAAGCAAGCCCAGCCTTCCTTAAGTTAGCTTAAGTAGGTTCTGTATTGAATTGAAAGAGAAGTTAGGCAGGCAACTTTTTTTTTTTTTTTTTTAGTAAATGCTAATGTTTGTCAAGTTTGCAACCTAGATTTCCTTTTGTTTCTCTCTGATTGAAAGACAGAACTGAATGTTAAAACTCCGTAAACTGACTGCCCTTGTGGTCATGTGCCTTCTCATTTAGCTTGTTTGGTTCCAGAATGCCTGGGAGCAGTGCTGTGGTGTGTGGGAGTGAATTGTAATGCGTATGCTGAGAACATTGAGTTTCAGTGTCAATACACCACAATGGCCCCTTGAAGCCTGGCAGGGCTGAGTGCACAGGGCTGTTCTGTCTTTCTCTTAGACCCTCCAATCAACAGCACCGGATGGAGAACGGATGGTTCGAGGCTCTTATTCAGTGGATCAGTTACATCAACATTTTTCACATCTGTTTGTAAGGAAGCCATTAACATAAGAAGCCAACATAAATATTTATATCTTAAAAGGCTCTGTCTCCCTGTGTGCTGACTGTGCATTCAGCAGTTGTTGAAAAGACCTGGGGCAGCGGGAGAGCTGGGCTTCGGGAGTAAGCTGTCCCTTCCTGTTATTTTTGAAAGTCTGCTGATGTAACTGATCACTCAGTAGTGCTTCTCCGTGTAAAGTACTAACTACCTTCACTCTGCTACTCTGGGTACCACAAACAAAAGCCTGCAGTTCTGAAAACAGGACCAAACTTGTGGATTTGCTGCATTTCCAATAGAGTGTAGCTCACAGCACATTTGCATAATCATCTGTGACATAAAACTCGTTTAGAATAACAATGCTTTCTCAAGATTTTCAACTCTGCTGGTGGCAAAATACCTGACTTAATGTGAGGAAGTCCAGTTCATTAGAAACTGCAATAGACTACAGTGTTTCACTTGGTCAAAGTCCTGTTTTCTACAGTGCACTTAGGAGTGATGTGGTCCCCAGAGGGAGCCAGCTCTATCCCAGTGATCATGGGAAACCTGTCCTCTGAAGCTACTAACCAGGTATCTGATTTGAAGGGAGCGTGGAAGCTCCAGAGCAGGGCTGGCAGTCCTTACTCACAGGAACTTTGAATTGCAGGAGGAATTCTGCTACCCAGTGGAATGCCTCGCTCTCACTGTGGAGGAAGTGATGCACATTCGTCAGGTCCTGGTGAAAGCAGAGCTGGAAAAGTACCAACAGTATAAGGACGTCTACACTGCCCTGAAAAAAGGAAAGGTAGAACTGTTTAAAGCTGATTGACCTGTATAAGAATGGCCAGTCCCAGTCATGGTCTTGTATAAGAGGCTTGTGTGCTAGCCAGATGGTACAGGACTTTTGGGGTCTTAGTGGTGAGCTATTTATATTTAGGCTGATCTTGTTCTTCCTTATTTACAAGAGGGGATTTTTGTTTCTCCCTTGGCAAAATTAGTGGAAAGTTTAAAAACCACTTTAAAAGATAGTAGTATGGCTTCCTAAAGCCATGTGCACTTGAGTTGTACTCTTAAAAGATCAGGAAAGAAAGCATGTCTGAGAAGCAGGAGTTACTTTCTCTCAGAATTGATCCTGAGACCATGAGATGCTTGAGCACTGTGACCTTTCGTTACTTTTGAAGAATTGTCATTAAACATAGGACTGGGTTCTAAGTATCAGAGCAAGCATAAAGCCAGGGTTTCTGTTCCTCATCCTCATCTTTCTGCAAATGTACCAGGAACATCCCTAGATGACCAGGAAGTGGGTCCAGCCCAGGTACCTGCAAGCAGTGGCCCCACCTCTCTTCTCCTTTAACTTTGTGTTTTATAGCTCTGCTTCTGTTGCCGAACCCGGAGGTTTTCCTTCTTCACCTGGTCTTACACCTGTCAGTTCTGTAAGAGGTAAGGGTTTTGTCACTGGGGAGTCTGACAGCACAGAGAAATGCACTTGCCTTGTTGCTTCCATCTTTTCCCAGTCGGGAGTGGTGTTAGAGGTAGCTTTGCTCTGTGCCTCTGCTCTCTGCCTCCTTACTGGCTTGCACAGTGGTTTCTAACACTTGATGAACATGGAAGAAAGGTTACTTACTCTGCATGTTACTTCTTTCTTCTTTGTTATTGTTCTTGAAAGGAGATTTCATGTGGCCACCAGCCTCAAACTCATTCCATAGCCTTGGGTGATCATCTGTTTCTGAGCCTCGTGCCTCTACCTCCCAAATGCTAGAATACAGGTGCCTACCACCATGCCTGCTTTGTTTCTTTTATATAAGCAAAATGACTCTGCCATCCTTGAACAGAACAAACCAAGCATGGTTATCATATGATTCCTGGACACACTAATAAAATTCCACATGGAAGTTGATTCTCCTTATTTGTTTGTCTGTTTGTTTGTTTGTTTGTTGTTACTGTTGTTATTTTGAGGTTAATTTTTTGGTGGTGTGGTGGCAGGGGCCTTTAATCCCAATACTCAAAGGTAGGAAGTGTTCTGTGAGTTCAAGGCAGCCTGGTGAGTTCAGGACAGGCAGGTCTATATAGTAAGACTGTCTCAAAACAACAACAAAAAAAGATTTCTTAATATTATTCTTACTTATGTGCACATATGTGTACCTCTAGTGCAGGTGCCAAGAAGGCCAGAGGCATGGATCCTTTGGATCTAGCATTACAGTCCATAGTGAGATCTTAATATGGGTGCAGGGAACTGAACTCAGGTCCTTCCTTTGGAAGAGTAGGAAGCACTCTTAACTACTGGGCCATTTCTCCAGACTACCCCACCCCCTTTTTTGGTTTTTTTGTTTTTAAGATAGATCATATTGTAGTATAAGTTGGCCTAGAACTCACTGTGAGGCTGCAGTTGGCCTCAAACCCTCAGCAGTCTCCCTCTCAGCTTCCCAAGAACTGAGATTACAGGCATGAGCCACCATGCTGGGCTGATCCTGGAGTGTTGTTGTTGTTGTTGTTTGGTTTGGGTTTTTTTTGTTTTGTTTTGTTTTGTTTTGTTTTTTCAAGATAGGGTTTCTCTGTGTAGCCCTGGCTGTCCTGGAACTCACTCTGTAGACCAGGCTGGCCTCGAACTCAGAAATCCACCTGGCTCTGCCTCCCAAGTTCTGGGGTTAAAGGTGTGCACAACCACTGCCCAGCCTTGGTTTGGTTTTTGAAGGCAAGGTTTCTTTGTATAGCCTTGGCTGGCCTTGAACTCTCAGAGATGCACCTGCCTCTGCCTCCGGAGTGCTGGGATTAAAGGTATGCACAACCACTGCCCAGCTAGCTGATGCTATGTTTATGAGACAGTGTAGTTGCTGGATTTTATAGCTTGACTTTTCGGCAGTCTGCACTTGTATCCTTACACTCTGACAGAAGGGTAATGTCTGACAGGGCACAGCTCTAGTCCTGCTTTCATGTCCGTCACTGTTTCCCAGCAGTAACACTTCTCGTTTTGTACACAGGCCCGTGTGCTCACAGTGTTGCAAAAAGGTAAGCTTAACTCAGTGAGATTGCCAATGCATCTGTTTGCTGCCTCTGCGCATCCTGGAGCTCATTCTCTCTCCCGTTTGGGATAACAGATGCGGCTGCCTTCCAAGCCATATTCCACTCTACCTATCTTCTCGTTGGGACCTTCTGCCTTGCAAAGGGGGGAAAGTTGTTCAAGGTCAGAAAAACCTACCACTGGTCACCATCGGCCGCTTCGAAGTATCGCCAGGTGAGTGGGGACCTGGATCTTCAAGAGCCTCCTCTGAAGAAAGAACACTTGGGGTTAGGGTGGTCATGACCAGGGCTAGGGTTTGGGTCAGGGCATGTTGCCAGTTGATTGGTTTTAATAGTTTTAGTCTAGCACAATTCTTCAGAGATTCCCAAGGTACTTTTCAGGTGATAATGGATAGTTACTTAAAAGTTATTTTAGTGTAGCTTCGTTTTTAATTAGATTTTGAAATAACTTTTATACCTTTTCAAAGACACCTTTAAAACTGACTTTTAGGCTAAATGAGCCATGCCTGTGATCCCAACAGTTGGGAGAGGGAGACAGACAGATTGGAAAGAAAGTCAGTGGGATTGAAGAGATGCTCAGTGGTTAAGAGCATTTGCTACTCTTGCTGCCCTGCTAATTAAGGTTGAAGTCTACCATTGCCCAGATAGCCTTCTGGACACGGCACAAAATGGTGGACTCTCTTTACCAGCAGGGCTTCTCCTTCTCTGACTTTGTCTAGAGTTTAAAAACCCCACACACATCTCTGCCTGTTGAATATTGCTTAGCCTTAATTAGATTGCAGGTTCAATGCTTGCTATCTCTGAATTAGAACCTCTTCAGTGAGCACCTGTGGTTCCTGAAATGCTTTCCCATGTTAATGAAGCACCTTGGTATCTTAAGCCTTCAACCAGTGACCTTCTGGATTCTCATGCCTTCCATCCCCAGAACTATATAAGCCTTAAGTCACCCCAAGAAAACTTGATCTGCTTCCATGCAGCTGGTCCCAGTGTGTCATCATTACTGTACATACGCACAGGGCTTCCAGACCCTGTCAGTAGTCTCTGCTTGCTTTGTCCTTTGGACCTATATCAGCCGACGATCCCTGGGGGCTTGCAGAGGACCTAAATTCAGTGCCCAGCACTCACATGAGGCCTCACAACTATAATACAGGTCTAGAGGTTTTGGTCCTGCTCTGGCCTGTACAGGCACTATACACATACATGGAGGCAAAATACTCATACACATAAGAAAATAAAGCTTAAAAATAAATTACAGTTCATCTTCAGATACATAATGAGGGCAGTCTAGGTTTCCTGAGAGTCTATCTACAAAACAAAACAGCAGCAAAAAAGGTCCTCCCCCCACCCAGTCTAGTCTAATCTTCCTTAGCTAGTTTAAGATAAAATCCATTGACCGCTGTGTTTATAACATCTGCTATAGTTTTGAGTTGCTCTACTTATTGTAAAACCAGAGATAAGGCTTAAAGCTTTATTCCAAGAACAGAGTCTCAAACCGTTGCATTCTGGACAGGGTCAGTCTTTTTAAGATTTATTTATTTTATGCTTATGAGTATACTGTCACTGAAGGGATTTATTTATTTTATGTTTATGAGTATACTGCCCACCAGAAGAGGGCATCAGATCCCATTACAGATGATTGTGAGCCACCATGTGTTTGCTGGGAACTAATCTCAGGACCTCTGGAAGAGCAGTTGGTGCTCTTAACCCCTGAGCCATCTCTCCAGCTCTGGCAGTGTTGTTCTTAACAGAAAGAGAAAGTCCACTCAGTCCACAGGCTAGCTGGGCCAAGAGATCCTGGCTTTGGACTGTGGGGTAAGAAAGCCTTATGCATTAATACATAACCCGGATCCCTGAAGCCTGGGCTCTTCTTGACTTGCTCTCCTGGTACTTACTTGGTGCCCAAGCTGACCACTGGTGGGACAGTGAGAAGCCCAGGACAGCCATCAATGGCCCAGGGCATTTTGTTGTTGTTGTTGTTGTTGTTTTTCTATTCAGTGATGACTTTGAACCTCCTTTGTCTTCCTTTTTGCTTTCCCCTTTGGGAAATAGTTGATATAGTAATGAGTTAAATGATCTCCAGTTTGATACCTCAAACGGACTTGAAAACATGATTATAATTCAGCTCTCTTGACCCACCTAGCCAGTCACTCTAACAGAACTGTTGGGGAGAAGTGAACACATTGATAACAAGAACACAACACATAAATTGGTGGAAGGTGTTTTTCAGAATAAGACACAAAAGTTCTTTAACTTCTATAGTCTGACCTACTGTCTAACACGTACTAAAGCTGATTGATCATGACACAGGGTACTGGACCTTGGGAAAAGATCTTGAGGTCCTTCTGAATCATCAATAGAGTGTTTGCAACACATATTTGTATTTCATTTATGTGTTTAAAACCTTAGTCTGTGATGTGTGGTGATCAAGAAAATACCTGGACACCCTCTTTTCCAAAAATTCTAGAAGAGATGAGAATTTGCAGTGATCTCATTTTCTCTGTGTCTTGTTTGTTGTGGTGCTGGGGTTGAACCCAGGGCCTCTGTCCCTAGGCAGGTTTACCACGGAGCAGCCAAGCAGCCCCACAGCCACAACGTTGGTTATTGCTGTTGGCTTTGTTTTGGTTTTGAGTGTTTATGTATATGTTTGCATGTGTATAGGCCCACAAGTGTAAAGGTCAGAAGTTAATAAGTAGTATCTTCCTCAATCACACTCTATCTCATATATTGAGAATGGGTCTGGACTTGAGTGCTCCTGTCCTCTTGCTGCAGGGTCCCCTGACTTTGGTTCCTGAGTGCTAGGAGTCCAGGCAAACCATCATGCCCACTTGGCTTTTACATGGCTGCTGGGCATCAACACTCCCGCCTTCACGTTTGTACAGCACAAGCTGCTGAGCCGTCACTCTTTTGTTTTGTATTACTTTATCATTTTATGCATAAGGGTATTCTGCTTGCATGGAAGTCTGTTGCCATTGAATGCCTGGTACCTGTGGAGAACAGAGGCTTCAGACCCCATGGTTCAGAGCTTCAGGTGCTTGTGACCTACCATGGATTCTGGGAATCATCCAGGTTTTCTGGAAGAACACCAGTGCTCTTCATCCCTGAGCTGTCTCTCCGACTCCACCCCACCCTAGAGTATTACTATTTCTTCTTCTCCTTCCCTTTTTCCTTCCTCCTCTTTCTCCTCCTCCTTCCTTCTTTCCTCTTTTATTTTGTGTTTTTGGAAACAAGATTTTTCTGTGCTGCCTTGCCCCCCCCCTCTGTGTGTGTGTGTGTGTGTGTGTGTGTGTGTGTGTGTGTGTGTGTGTGT